ATTACACCCATCGTGTTTCTGACGGTGCCAGGCTCGCTGTGAACGGAGTCGTTGTGAACCGGAGGCCCCTTTCACTTTCGATATGGGGCCCTTTTGCACATCCCAGCTGAACAAATTGGATGTTGGAGAGACCAGTGAACCCTCCAGTCCCCATGGGGACCCAATTGCGAACACAAGCAAAAACTATGGATCTTGTCGGATTCGGAGCCTCTCTGGATTTGATAAGGGTTAGCGTTCACATCTACATTGCAAGTATGATGTTCGGTGAGAGCATGGCCCCTTGAGTTTTTGTACCCCCGATCTACAAATCCATATTGAGAGTTGGTGTATTATAGGAAACGCTATATTCCTGAAGAGGGAAATCATCAGAAGGGGGGGGATGGGACGTGGCGTCGTGGGGTGTGGGGGAGGGAAAGAGGAGGGCGAAACGGAAGGGATGGCGAGGGCATGGAATGGAGGGAAGGACAGGGAAACGGAAGGGGACGGAAACCTGGGAGGGGGGGGGGCGGGTGGGAGTGGGGGGAAGGGGGGAAGGATGGAAATGGGGGGGAGGGAAGGGGAAGCGACGGGGAGGAAGATGAGAACCCCCTTCCAGAGATTTTACCGCGATTGGGCGGAGGGAGGTATGAAAGGCAGGCTGGGATGGTGGGGAACGGAGGGAAGTCAAAGATGGAAGGAAGGGGGGAGAACAGAGGGGATGCGGAGTAGTGCTCGCGGCCAGCTACGTGCTCAGGGAAAGCGTGCGCGCGCCAGCATAGACTAGGCTTCGGCGCTCGCAGGAGTAGTGGAGGAGAAGGACGGCGGAATGGAGGAGGGGAGGAAACGGGAAGAGGGGCGGAGGAAGGGAAAAAGGGAGGAGGTGGAGGATGAAGATCAGGATGAGGATGGTGAAACAGATGAGGAGGTAAAGGACGAGGACGAGGAGGAGGAGGAGGAGGAGGAGGAGGAGGAGGAGGAGTGAGAGGAGGAAGGAGGAAGGAGGCGTGGCAGGAGGAGGATGTGGAGGAAGAGCACGTCGTAGTCGGAGGAGGGAGGAGGAGGAGGAGGAGGAGGGGGAGAAGGAGGAGGAGGAGTGGGTCAGGAACAGAAGGAGGAAGACCGCCACATGCCAGGGCATGCCGCTTTGAGAGAAGCGGCCCTGCAGTGAAGCCCGCGATCTCCTGCTGCGGGGTTCTCGTTCACGCGCTCGCCCGCGTCGGCGACGTCTCCCGCATCGAGAAGGCCCCGTCCCCGCGCCGCTCTCTTTTCCTTCGTTTCAGGGCGTTGCGCAACCATCTCGGCAGTTGTCGATGGTTTGTTTGCTTGCTTGCTCGATTGCTTGTTTGTTTCTGTTTGTGTCTGTGTGATTGTGTGATCGTGTGTGTGTGTGTGTGTGTGTGTGTGTCTGGGTGTGTGCGTGTCGCTCGATGGCTTTCTTTTCAGCTTGGAGCTACGCCGCCCTCTCCTTCCGCAGCGTGCGCTGGCCGCGCACCTTCCAGTGGCGCGTCGCTTTTTGGTACCTCAGGCCGCCTGCGCGCTCCCCGTGGCGAAGATCCTCTACGCCCGAGGCCTCCCTCCGCGATCCTCCCTCCTCCTCCTCCTCCTCCTCCTCCTCGTCCTCGTCCTCGTCCTCGTCCTCGTCCGCCTCCTCTTCCCCCCCTTCCTCCTTTTTCTCCTGCTCCTCCTTCTCCTCCTCCTTTTCCTCCTCCTCCTCCTCCTCCCTCCGCGGCCGCCCTCCTCTTTTCCACTTGTCAGGTGTGCCTCTGCCTGGCGCGGTCCGCCGGCTGACCCCGGCCGCGCTGGCGTCCGCTTCCTTCGCCACTGATTTCAGCGAGTGCGTGCCGCTTCTCCGGCTGCCCGCCGCCGCGTCGCTGCCCGCGTGGCCGCGACGACGACAACAACAGCACCGCGTGTGTGTGTGTGTGTGTGTGTGTCTATGTGTGTGTACTCTGGCTGGGGAATTGATCGGGGGGTGGGCGACTAACCTTCCGACGGTTGCCCATCCCCCCCTCTTCCACCTCCTCCACCTCCTCCTCCCCCTCCTCCCCCTCCTCCTCCTCCTCCTTCTCCTCCTCCTCCTCCTCCTCCTCACCCGCCCTTCCACCCGTTCCGACAGCACGCGCCGAGCCCCCAATCCAAGGGGGGGGGGCGATTACTGCCCCATCCAGACTATGTGTGTGTGCGTGCGTGTGTGTGTGTGTGTGTGTGTGAGAGTGTGTGTGTGTGAGAGTGTGTAAGTGTGAGAGTGTGTAAGTGTGTAAGTGTGTAAGTGTGTAAGTGTGTAAGTGTGTAAGTGTGTAAGTGTGTAAGTGTGTAAGTGTGTAAGTGTGTAAGTGTGTGTGTGTGTGTGTGTTTGTGTGTGTGTGTGGCTAGTGGCCGTTAGGACGTGTGTAACAATTTCTTAACTCTGATCCGGGTGGAGGGCGGGCTCAGGATGGCGTCTCGCTAGCCTTCGCCGGACGTGGCCGTTTTGGCTGAAGCCGGCGAGTTGCGAAACGTTAGAGTGGCCTTAGTTTGCCAGGAACACAGCTCGCTACCAGCAATGTCCCTCTTCCCGCCTGCAGCGCCTGGCGTGGAGCCCGCGGCAGGGTTCGCGGTGCCACCCCGCGCGGCGGGCGGGGGAGTCGGCGGGGCAGAGAGCGGTGCCGGTTCGAGGGGGCCAGGCGGGGCAGGCGTCGCGTCAGCTGGAACGACGGCCGCGCTTCGTGGCCTCACCTTCGGCGCCGCTGCCAGGTCGCTGGGCTTCTCCGAGGACCTCCTCAAGCCTTACGTGGAGGCGCTCGGGGGCGCGTGGGAGAGCACCTCCGTGAGCGACGTGTACGGCAGCCTCGACGGTGACATGTACGAGGCGCTGTGGGCGGTTAAGACCGAGGAGGGCGTCGACATCACCCCTATCGCGCGCGGCCAGCTCCGCGCCTCGTTGCGGGGCCTGGCGCACGCGGTGGGGCTGCCCCCCCCGCTCCTGGGCGACATGCCGCCCGTGGTCAGCCAGGGGCCCCTGCAGGCGCCGCAGGCCGCGGCGGCGGCGCCGGCGCAGCAGCCCGAGGTGTACGAGATGAGCAGCGTCATCGACCAGGGGTCGAACATCAAGTTCACGATGCTCCCTGCCCTGAAGCTCAAGGAACTCAACGCGAACTACGTGCGGGAGACTGGGCGCCCGCCCAGGGACTACGAGGACACGACGGACGTCCAGCTCTCGGCGCTGGCCGCCCGGCTCGCCGCGGGCGAGGCGCCGCACGTCGACTTCAGTGTCTTCGGACCCTTTGGGAAACGGATCCAGCGGCTCATGAACTTCCAGGCCGACGTCTGGGTGAGCGGCCAGCTGGTGAAGAAGAAGCTCGCCGGGCCAGAGAACTTCGAGACTTGGCGGAAGGGCTGGCGAGTCTTCCGCGTGGCGGCTATCAAGCTCCAACTTTCGAGGCCGGGTCCCATCGACGATTTTGAGGAAGGGGTGCGGCTCCTCAACTCGACCTTCCCCCGTGACTGGGGGGCCGTTTTCCTGACCGTCTGCCACTGCTTGGAGGAGCGCTGGCATCAGGTCCGCACGAAGATCGAGGACTTGGTGGAGAAGGGCAAGTTCCAGGGCGACTTCGACCGGGAGCGCCCCTGGGAAGCCGTATTCTCTTACACGGCCTACGACAGCGGGCAAGACTCGCAGTGGTGGAAGATCCACTTGGAGCTCCCGTGCCTGACCGGCAGGACGGGCGGCCGCTCTCGCACGTCGGAGGTCGAGGGCGGCCCATCAGCCGTCGACCAGATCGAGCGGCAATCCGATAAGCGGGCTGCTGACCACCACGGCGACGGCTCTGAACGCCCCACGGGCGCTGGGGCGAAGAGGGCCAAGAAGGCGAAGTCTCATTGGCAGCAGGTCAGGGACAACAACGCGGCCGGAGAGACCAAGGACGGCCGGTTCACGAAACACCAGGGCGTCGAGTTGTGTTTCAACTGGAACCGCAACGCCCACGGCTGCTCGTCGCCCTGCCCAGCGAATCGGCAGCACGTGTGTGAATGGTGCAAGGGGCCGCACCGGGCGATCGATGATTCGTGCCCGGCGCCGAAGCGCCCCGAGGGCTGGCGCCCGGGCAACAGGGGCGGCGGCAAGGGAGGGGGGAAACACCCCCGGTGACTAGGCCGCGGCCCCAGTACCCTTACAAGGACGGCCTCTCCCAGGCCGGGTACCTCAACAAGCATTGCCCCAATAAGGTCGGCCCCAATAAGGTCTGCGCTGGCGGCCCCAGAGCCGGTCGCGTCGCCCCGCGCCGAGCCGGCGCCTGAATCGCGCTGGCGCGAGCTTGCCGGCGGACCCCCGGCCCCCGGGCCCCCGGGGCCCCAGGCTTCGGGGCCCGCCGGGCGCGCTGGCGGCGCTGCCGGGGGGCCCGCCGGGGCCGCCGGGCGCGCTGACGACGCAGCCAGGGCTCGCGCGCTGCCGGGGCGTCGCGGACTGGCCCGCGCGTGGGGCTCCCACCTCGGCGCACTGGCGAAGCTGCAGCGTCGGCTCGGGGAGCTCCGGGCGCGGGGGGGCCAGCGGGCGCATCGCGGCGACGCTCCGGCCGCAGCTCGTCCGACGCCGCCCGCGCTGGCGCAGCCGGCTGGCTACCCCGGCCAAGACATGTGGGATCGGAGACGCGTGCGGCCCCGTCGACCACCCGGCGTGCCGGAGGGCCCATCCGCGCGTGAGGAGCGGTCGGCCCAGGATGCCCTCTGCACCGCCGGCCTCCGCAACCCTCACAGGGTAGTGAAGGCGTGGGGCGACCTGCAGGAGGCCATGGCGGTTGTGCGGGCAGCCCTTCTGCGGGCGCGGGCACGTGAGCCCGCTCTGGTCGGGATGGTGGGCGCGTGCGGGCAGCGGCCCTCTCGCGCGCCCCCGCCCGAGTCTGCTGTCGCGTCTGCCCGCGCCGAGGTGGCAGCGGCCCTGGGTTTGGGGATGGCGCAGGCCGAGGAGCGCCATCCGTCCTCCCCACTGCGGCGCGAGATCTTCGCGGAGTGCGCCCGCCGGTCGAAGGACCCCGACGTGCACGTGCCCATCTGGCTCCGGGAGGGAGCCCCGATGGGCATCCGGCGAGCGATCGCCCCCGGCGGCCATTTCCCGTTGGGCGGCCGCAGAGGCGACCCTTTCAGTGGACGCCTTCCGCAGGGAGTTTTGTTTTTCAGGAAACCATCGCTCGTTCGTGGATGATTTCGGCGAGAACGAGGCGCCGACGCCCCCCCTCGTCCGGGAGTACCTGGAGAAGGGGTTCGGCCGAGCATTTCCGTCTCGCGAGGCCGCCGAGGAGGTCTTCGGGCCCACGTATCCCGCGCCGCTCGGAAACGTCCGGAAGCGGAAGCAGGGCGGGGACGGCTGGAAGAACCGCATCATCCAGGACTTGAAGGCATCGCGGGTGAACCTCCTCAGCTCCACTCCCGAGCGGGCGGTGCTGCCCCGTGGCATCGACCACGCCGTGGACATGGCGACCCTCTTTACGGCGAACGGAGCCGACCACGGGGAGATCCTCGTCATCGACTTCTCAGACGCCTTCATGTCGTGCCCGCTCCACGAGAGCGAGCGCCCGTACAATTGCGCCGAGGTGCGGGGCCTCGAGGCGGAGAACGACTACACGTTCATCGTGTGGGCGGTGCTCGGGTTCGGGGGAAAGGCGAATCCCCTGGTCTGGGCCCGCGTGGCCAGCGCGGCGGCGCGGACTGCGCAGGCGCTGACGCTGAGCGGGGGCCTGCGGCTCCAGCTGTACGTGGACGACCCAGCGCTGGCGGTGCAGGGCCCTCCGCGGGCGCGCGAGCAGGAATTCGATCTGGCCTTGCTTTGGTGGCTCGTGCTCGGGCTGCGCATCGCGTGGAAGAAGGGCCGCCACGCGCGCGGGCCCCTCCGCGGGGGCCCGCGTCCGGCCCTGGAGCACGAGTGGATCGGCATTCGCTTCGCGATGGCCGAGGATTGTGCCGTCATGGGGCTCACCCAGAACTTCATCGATGAGTTGCTGGAGCTCCTCCGCCACTTCATGGCGAAGAAGGGCCATGCGCCGTTCAAGCAAGCGCGGTCGTTGGTGGGGAAGGCAGCCCGGGTTGCTCAGATCATCCCGGCCGCGACCCCGTTCGCCGCGGCCTTGTGGGCGGCGCTGACGGGGGCCCTCCGCCAGGCGAACGCGGGGAAGCGGGAGTCCCCGCCGAACACGGTGCCGCTCCAGCGCTTCTTCACCGCGGCTCGCTGGTTCCGCGCGTTGCTGGAGCCAGTCGACGAGGCGCGCCGACCCGAGTGCTTCTTCCCGCTGGAGCGGCGAGTGTATCCGCGCCCCGACGCGGTTCAGTGGCCGCGATCCAGATACCACGTTGAATTGGACGCCTGCCCCTGGGGGGGCGGCGCCGCGCTGTTCGAGGGCGCGACCCCAGTCGAGTGGTTTGCGACTTCGTGGGACCAGGAGGTGCTCGACGTCTTCGGAGCCGTTCTGGGCTTGGCAAAGTATCAGAGCCTCTGGGAGTTCATCACGCTCCTCCTCGCGCTCATCATTTGGCGGTGCCACGCGGAGCACGCCGTGCTCTACGTCCTCGGGGACAACGTGGCGGCCTTGCAGGACGCGATGCAGCTCAAAGGCAGCGGAGACATGCTCGTCGTCGCCCGGGAGATCGCCTGGCGGGCAGCTCGGTGGCCCCTGCGCTTCGAGTGCGCCCACTTGCCCAAGGAGCTCAACCTCGTCGCCGACTCCCTGAGCCGTTTGGCGGCCGTGCCTCCCGCGGCGTTCCCAGCTAGGCTGCGCGGCGTGCCGCGGAGCCCCGTGCCCGCGTGGCGCCAGGTGTGGCGGGCCCGGGTTCCCGAGTGAGACGTGCGCCACGCCAGTCTCAGCCGCGCGCTCCCGGACGCCCAGCGGGGGCCTGGGCAGGGCGGCGCCAGGCCATGAAGGCGGCGCCGCCGCTCGGCTCCCGGGGCAAAGGCAGTGCAGGGCGGCGCGAGACCATATCAGCAGAGGGGTGGCTTGAAAAGTTTTGCTTTCATCGTCCCAACCTTTTCCTCGCCCCACCGGAGGTCCCCGGGGGCGGGGCGGGGCCGCCCCCGCGGGCGCCCAGCGGGCGTCCGGGGGGCGGCCGGGCGCCCCCCTGGGGAATTCTGAGCGCACCCTGGCGGGCGCTCAGAATTCGCTGGGCGGTGGCTGGGCGCCCCCGGGGAATTCTGAGCGCACCCTGGCGGGCGCTCAGAATTCGCCGGGCGGCGGCCGGGCGCCCCCGGTGAATTCTGGTCACCCGGCCCCCCGCGCGCACCCCTGGCCACCCGGCCCCCCGGCGCGCCCCCGGTGACGCCGGTCATCCGATCTTGTGCTGCCAGAGGCCATGGCAGCGGTCCCGGAGGCCCTGGCGGCGGCCCCGGAGGCCTTGGCGGCGGCCCTGGAGGCCCCGGCGGCGGCCCCGGCGGCCCCGGGAGCGGCCCCGGAGGCGGTCGGAACCATAGACTTAAAATCGGCTTTTTTTATGTTTATGGTTTTGGCCTCTCTCGGGCTCCCCCGGGCCCCCTTCGGGGCCGTGTTGGGGCTCAGACGGTGCGTTTTGGACCCCCCCCCCTAAGGATCCTCAGGGGGGGGGGTTCTCTGATGCCACATTTTGGAGGCCGCCCTCCCGGGCTAGTCAGAGGCATCCCCGCCCCCCCCCAGTCCGGTAGTGCCGCGGCCCGAGGTGGGCCGGCTCCGCGCCGTCGCCCACGGCGCGCCGCGCGCGCCATGTGCGCCTTCCAGCCACGGTGGGATCTGGCAGCCAGCCTGGCAGGACGCAAACGGCGTCAGGTTGGGCAGGATCCAGGCCCGGCGTCTGCCAGGCATCGGGGTAGTCCACTCCTCGGCGCGGCAGATGGCAGCGTGTCGGGCCCCAGCCCGGCGCGGCCATGCCTGGCGCCAGGAGGCGGTGGTCCCCAGGGTACGGCGGCGCATCAGGGGGAGGCCGCGCGGCCGTCGATCCCTGGGTTGCGGGGCGAGGCGCCAGGGAGGCACCAGTACCGGAGGGGGTGCCTTGCGGACCTCACGTCGGCGCAGGCCCAAGCCCGCGCCCTCGAGCAGTTCGACGCGGAAGTGCTGGCGACGACGACCGCGAACTCGGAGGCGTCGCGCCGCCGGACGCTCAAGGCCATCTTCGAGCAGTGGGGCGTCGAGATGATCCCCCTGGCCCGGCAGAAGATCAGGCGGCTGGGCGCTTCGCTGAAGGCTGGCGGATACAGGTCCGCAGCCCTGTACCTGTCGCTGGCAAAGAAGATGCACGTGCAGGCCGACCTCGACTTCCCCCCCTCCTTGGGCCAAGCCTTGGCCGAGGCACGGCGTTCGTGCGAGCGGGGGCTCGGGCCAGACCGCAAGGTCGAGGGCATTGCGATGGAGACGTTAGCCCAGCTCCGGACGGACGCGACTCCGCTGGTTGCGGGGGGCCCCGCCAACCCCCGGTGGGCGCTGCTGGCGGGCGCCTGGTGGCTCACGCGCGAGATCGAGCTTTCCGCCGCGCCCGCGCACATGGTCACCTTCCACGCCGGGACGGACGGCCGACTCGCTTCCACGTGGCTGTTGCCCGCGTCAAAGACGGACACTCGGGCCTTAGGCGTGGCCCGCACACACGGCTGCTGCTGCGGCGCTGGGGTCTTCGGCAATGCTTGCCCGGCCCACGCGCTGTGGGCCCAGCGGTCATGGCTCAGGGCTCGGTTTCCTGCGCGGCATTCGGCGGACGGCCTGCCCGCGCCTGACCCTGAGGTCTGATATGTCTAGTTTTTGGCCGTGAACATCCTACGGCCAGAAACAAGACATACGGCCAGTTTTTGGCCGTACATCTTCTAGCTAGCGCTGAGCGTGGTAAAATCATGTCCGTTCTGCTTCAAGCGCGTTCTAGCTCAATATCGCACGACACTTCAATGGCATTGCTGGGTTAACATGCAATACGTATATGTACTGTGTGATTTATACTTATCTACATACTTATATATACACATATGTATATGTAACTTTAGCACTGCATCATATAGACAGCAATGGCGTCCATCAATTCGGAACATCCTTCACTGACCCCCCTCGTTCGCACCCCCCTCCGCCTCGTCTCGCTCTTACCTTCTTCGGCGCCATTCTGGCCCCGATCGGCCGCCACCGCAGTGGCGGGCCGAGGGCCGCGGGCCCAGAGGCCCCAGCGGCGCGCGGCGCCGCGGGCCGCGAGGCGGCCATGAAGAGGAGGCCTGCTGCCGAGGGCGAGCAGAAGGCCTCCTCATGTCATTTTGCCCCCACCCCCACCCCCACCCTCCATGTAGAAGAGGAGAGGATGCGGAGAGATGCGCGGAGACGCATCTCTTCGCTTCTCTCCACCCACTGCTCCAGTTGCAAGGAGGGGGGGATGAGGTGGTAGGGGCAAGACGTTGAAAGAGAAAGTTCCTGCTCACCCTCTTCAACAGTTGCTGTTGCGCAGTGCGCAGCAGCAACTGTTCGAAGAGGGTGAGCTGGAAATGTGTAAGGGCGCACCCGCCCACCGAGATGTACGATCCCCCTTCCTCTTCCTCCTCACCCACCTCATCCCCCTCCGATGTGAGCGTCCAGGAGCACATGCGGCCCCTGGGCGCTCGCATTTTTCGGGCCCACTTTGCAGTGCGAGATCGAGGCCTCAGGGGGCCTCGAACTCTCGTCGTGCGAGTCGTGCTTTGCCCAGTTCCTTCTTCTACCCTCCCCCTCAAGATTCGCCTTGACCAAAAAATCAAAGTGATTTGTTTTACGACTCGAGGGGGTCTACGCAGGACTTGAAAGGTTTTAGAAAATGCCTGTATTGGTCAAGGCGAATCTCGAGGGAGAGGTTGGAAAGAGGGGCTGGGCAGGGGTCGGCCGCATCCCCGAAAGGCGCGCGACGAGTGCTTCAAGGACTCCGAGGCGCTCAAGAAGGCCTGGCTGCCCTTCATCGAGTCGCCGACGTGCGTTGACTACTGCACGAAGGTCAGCGGCCAGGGCAGCCAGCGCGACATAGGCCACCTGGAGAAGCACGTGGAGCTGCTGCGGGCGACGATTGCGCTCGGCCCGAGCCCGACGCAGACCGCAGC